TATTGTAGAGCCAGGGGAATGGTTGGAGGTGGATCCAGCTACTCAACGGGGTTGGCAATCGCCAGTGTCAGAGGCAGAGTTGCCAGTCCCGGGTACCCCGGGGATGGGGGGTCACCAGAGGACGGCACCCATGATATTGTTGAACCTAAGGTGCAGAGACCGAGGCGGGTGATACGCCCGGTGAAGAGGTTGACATATGATGCACGACTCCTGATAATATAGACGCTGAGTAGGAAAGCTACCTATTCTTTCGGGGACCAAAGAAATTGTTAGGTGGGGGAGTGTGTAGCAAAGCTGTCTGAGAGTGTTTGCAGAAGCTTGGTTGGGAAGGGCGAGATTGGGACAGCTGCTGCTGGCTTTGGGTGTGGCCGGTGTGGCTGGAGGAGAAGATAGAAAAAAGGAGAGGAGAGACGGAGGGGCCGGTTGCAGTTCGTCAAGTGAAGGTAAAGGGACTGGAAGTTTTATTTGTTTTCTTCATAATGAGGATATTTTAAACAGAGGCTAGAGGGGGAGAGAGAGTGGAGTTTTTTTGCTTCCTTCATGAGGAGGATATCTCAAACGGAGGCAAAAGAGAGATTGTGTGGAGAGGAGTTGGCAGAGACTCCTAGCCTCAGATTTTAACAATAAAGATAAAGGAGGGGGGAGGGTTTTGATGCTGAAACCTGACTGAAGGAGAAGTAACAGAAAGAGAGGAGAGACTGGGGGTGGCTATTGCTGCTATGGAGCCTGGAAACAATTTAGACTGTGACTATCACTGCTACTACAGGTTTTAAGACATTGTGGGGGAGTTGCCTGGGGGGGGGAATGGGCTACTGCTACAGCACATTGACTGTTGTTGTTTCTACTACCGTCTGGAGCCCGGGTTTTCCCTCCATCCCACTTGACTCTGAACGATCACTGAGGAATCTTTTATTCCTGCTGCTATACCGGCCTTGGGCTGTTGGATATCATCATAGCACTGACTATCGTGACTGGTTATTTTCGTTCCTGGAAGCCCCTCCTTGATGACAAGAGCCTGCTACCTACTAATTCTGCATGAGCTCCGGCTGGAAGAGACATCTTATCAACCCCTAGAGAACACTACGGCAGGGCTTGACAAAGGGGGCTGGGGCTGGGAGGGCCTGGGTTTTTGCAGCTTCTGAGGAGGTAATGCTACAATAGGAAATATGAAAATTTTGAAAGGGTTTGAATAAGGGAAGCTTTTGGTTACCCAAATATAATTTATTATGAGAAAATTATAAACGATAGAGATTCTTTGAACATTGAGGGAAAATTAAAATTTTTAAAAAGTGGGAAAAACAGCATATTGATTGAACAAATGGATTTTAAGTGCAAATGCAATTGAGATATGTTTTGGCTGGAAAAGATATTATAAACTGACACTATCGATATTATGTACAATACTAAAAAATGTGATGAAGATGTCTGTATTTAATTGTATATGTATTAACAATAACAAGAATTGTATTTGACCAGTGTGGAAAAATGCATACCACTGGAAGAAGAGAGGACCAAGGAAGCACTGGATGGTGTAGTATTGGAACTAGATTGAGAAAGTTAATATGTACCACTGAATTACCAATGGACCCAGACAAAATGTTGTTTATTAAGTACTTATGATTGTAAAATTAGAAAATTAATAAAACATTTTAAAAATATGAATCAGTTGTCAAGCATTCGAATGTATGTCACATGACCATGGGGATGCTGCAACGGTCAGAAGTGTGAAAAATGGCCATAAGTCATTTTTCCCCATTCTGTTGTAACTTCAAATGGTCACTTAATGAACTGTTGTAAATCGAGGGCTATCTGTGCTAATATAGCATACTATTCTTTATCAGAAAAATGCTGTCCAACCCCCTATGCATAAACAGACAATTAACAAGAAGATCAAATAACTTCCAAAAAAGCTTAGAGATAAATGGGATGCCAAAGTATATGTATTTACTATGTTTTCCCGAAAATAACACCCACTCCAAAAATAAGCCGTAGCCTGATTTTTTTGGGTGGGCCTAATATAAGCCCTACCCCAAAAATAAGCCCAGGGGGTGGGCATAGCCAGCACAAGTGACGGCAAGCGCATGGGGACGGATGGTGTCCTGCGGCAGCAGTAGCCCGCCAGCCCTTTGGAAACAGCGCAGGTAAATACAGTGCAAAGGCGGGGGGAGGCAGGCAAATTGCTCCATTTCCAAGTGCCCCATTTCCCAGCAGTCAAAGGTTCCAGTCTCCTTCTGGGTGAAAAGAGTTTGGACACCTATGGGATGCTGGGGCAGCTCCACCCCCTCCCTACCTTGCCTCACCTGTGGTGGTGGGATGGCACAGTAGGCTATGTGACTTGCCATGAGCGACTGTGAGCAGCCACAGAAGTGGTCCAGCGGCCATGCAGGGTTCTGCTAGATGGGGCTATTGATGCCGCCACTGCAAGGCGAGGCAGGTATTGGGGAAAAAATAAGACATCCCCTGAAAGTAAGACCTACTGCCTCTTTTGGAGGCAAAAAAAAAAAAATAGACTGCGTCTTATTTTCGGTAATTGTCAAATTTTCTATCATTCAGCCTTCTCTCTCTCCCTTCTACCTACTCCATCTTTCTATTTCAATAATACTAGTTAATAAGACAATGAAAATCTAACTTTCTTGATTGTGAGCACCTCTTATGAACTGGGCACCAGAAGAAGAAAGGGAACATGCTAACTACATCTCAGTAACATTTAATGCAATGTGGTTTAGAACATGGGTAGACAACCTTTGTAAGCTAGGTACTCATTTGAAATTTTGCAAGCTTGTGTTGGATGCACTTATACAATTGCTTTCTATTCACAAAGTGGCTTTTCCCAATGGGCAGAGCAATTGCAAAACATCAATTTACCTAAGAGCAAAGTAGCCCTCCAGGATGATCTCTGTCGTTCCACTGGGACCTTTGTAGTACCCAAAGGCATTGTTTATTCTAGATATATGGATACGAGAAGGGAGTGTGCTTCCTTTTTAGTTCTTTTTTAAAAATATTTTTAAGTTGATGGACCAGACAGTCTGCACCAGGGAGGTATCTAGAGACACTTTGTTGCTTCTGCCTGGTTTGGCAGGAATCAGTTAGGTGTAGTAAAGATGCATATTCCCTATGTATTTCTCAGAATAAACATTGAGATTTCACGCTTTTTTAAGATCCTAGCACTGGGTGCAGGTAAATATTTCAGGAGCCAGTAATTTTATAATGCAAGGCATTTCATAAAAAATGAGAAATTTAAGATTGAATCTCATTTAAGAATTATTTCTCCAGTAGGATAAATGCAACTGCCTGTCTCCTGAAATTATACCATTCACTCTGTTCTCTGTACCCTCTGCAATTATGAATGCTATAGCAGAACTAGCTCTGGAAATAATTTTTCCTCTTTAGGGGAAGCATAGACTAGCAGGAATTTGTTCTGCACTGTTTGGTTCATTTTATAGATGGTTCATTTTATGGAAAACCACTTAACACTCTGGTTTGCTGTGTGACTTTTCTGTTTATTTGTTGAATTTCAAATAGATAAGTAATTATACATTTACAGAGAAATGTATATGTGGGGCACCCTGTACTTTAAAAAAAATTCCCAGCATATATTAAAATGTTTCAAACAATCGTTTTCCTAGGCATTTCAAAATGTGTAGTCACACCAGATTTCAACTTTCTCAGGGATAGTCTCAGCTGAAGAAGTCTAAATATTTTGTAAAAATATGTTTTAAATTATATGGCTGCCTATATTGTATAAGTGAGGCATAGATGGCTAACAAATACATGCATAATAGAAACACAGGATTAAAATTTGAACATACCATTCTTATATACTGGTAGTGAAATTTTATCTAACCCTATTAGACAAAAGATCCCATTTATTTTAATGAGACTCCCGGATAACTGCAAGTCATTTGAGAGAGATTGGAACTTTTGATTATACATGTCTCTTCTGGACCTTATTACCATCTACATTCCTTTTGATGATACCTTTCTGAAATGACTTCACACGATATGAATTGGGGCAAATCCATGACTTCACAGGACATTTCAAACTTACAGAACAATCCTGGTTTGATCAACCACATTGCATGCATTTCTCCCAATATGATTACTTTGACATTATTGTACTTATTGTGCTTAGAATATTTTGCTAAGAAGGTTTTTTATGTGATGAACCGAAGAGTATAAATGGATTGTCTTTATGGTATTTAAGAAAGAAAGCAAGAAAAGCAATGATTCCAATTTGTTTATTGTAGTTCTACATAATATGTAGTTCTACACATTTAATGACCTAAAAGACATCCCACTGTCATATCAGGCCATGTGGAACTATCTTCCCTATTGTTACTTCACTTTTTTGCAAAAATATTTTGAGAAATCATATTTAACTTTTGCCTGGAAACTGCATGTCTAATACTTCAAAGAATTTAAGGTTGACCTTAGTGTAAAATAATAGTTTGTTGTTAAGGTGCCACAATACTTTATTGTCTTACATAATTTACCCCCCAAACTAATACTTTTGAGGGCAGACTTGTCCTTTGACAAGTTTTTTTTTGGGGGGGGGGTGACTGGAGCTTCATGTAATTTACAGACGTAGGAGCGTTTAGAAGGAAATCATACTGATCCATTCACTCTAGTAATGAAAAGATGGAGAGATAACTATCTAGTAAAACAAAACTGTTCTCTAACAACTGGTACTTTGGAGAATATGCTGCCTCCATGTACTATATTTTAAAAAGAATATGCAGTAAAGCAGCATCTTGGGTACAATGCAAGTAGAGAAATGTATTTTATAATGTTAGTGCCGCAGTTACATAACTTATGATCCTTAGCTTATTAAAATTCATGTTTATTGCTGACTTAAATATATGGAGATTTTTTTATAAAAAAAACTTCTATTCATTTTCAACTGTGCTTCTTATCACAACTATACCATAACTCTAACCCTAACCCTAACATTTATAATTATGGCTCATTTGTTAATATTCCTATTCTTTCATTTTTCCAAGGAAAAGATGATGCTGAGCCAAAGAATCCTGAAGACTGTACATTGCATACATTGTAAGTCAACCTAATATTTATGGATTGTTAAATGGTAATAATTTTCCTTGAGGTCCCTGAAGGTGTGTTTGTCAAAAAGGTCAAGGTGGGGGCTGCAACTGTGTAATTGAAGACCTGTTCCTTATTTACATGCACCACTGCCATCTTGCTTTTTGGACCCTCCCTCCAAGGATGCTTCTGTTTACCATACAAATCTCTTTTGGATTTAAGGTATTACTGCACTTTTGGTACTTTAGAATACTATTTCAGTGGAAGTTAAAGCAATTGGCTAATAGCGCAAAAATCCTTGATTTCTAAAGAGACTGTAGTAATGCCAATATATACATTTTTGAATCAGCACTTTATAAAAGATTTAAACATTTTTTTTAATATGACAACAGGAGTTTTTCTCTCTGGCTAAAACATATGGCATATGTTGCTTATGATATATTATTGTAATTTTCAGTGGCTGCAGATTACAGCTTCATCTTTTAGTTGCTGAAATACAGCTGAAAGAATTAATGATTTCCACAATTTGTTGAGGATTCTGAATTAAGAAAATCAGTAGTACAATAGATTACAAAATATGATTTATTCTAATGAAACAATGGTAGGTTTTAGTGGTAGTCTGCCATGTCAAAAAAATTTCTATGTGCTACCTACCATTTTTATTATGACCAGGAACAGTTAGGTCTAATAATGTTTATTTGGCACTAGATGTTCTTAACAACAATTTAGAATAAAATAATATCTCAAATCTAAAGTGATGTTTGATATTGCTATGTAGGTCCATTTCCTGTAAAAATGATTAGCAAAAATAATTAAGAATCTGATTGGCAATTAATAATTGTCATGTATATTTTAGCTTATACACAGCTAAAGAGAGAGAATATCTATGTTATGACAGCAATTTGTTGAGAAGTAGTATATATTTAATATATTTATTAGAGGAGCATGGTGGCTCACGTGGTTAGAATGCTGGATTGAAGGTTAGCAAGCCCACATTTCAGACCGCAATATTGCCATGGGGTGGGATGAGCTCCAGCCCTTCATTCCAATTCTTGCCAGAAACGTGAAAGGATCCCCCAAGTGGGGGACCCTAGCAACAGTGATGTCACCAGCTAATCCTTTCCACCTGGAAGTACCTCAGTATTCCTGACACAAATGCAATGCAAATATATTTATTAATATAAATGGGAATTTGAGTCAAGGAAGCATTATATATTTAATATTAGGTATAGAACAGGGGTGTCAAACTGCCGGCCCGCGGGCTGGTTTCATCATACCCGAGCTGCGCCCACCCCATTGCCGGCACTGGCGAAAAAGCTCTGATACGTTGCGCGACGTCATGTGACGTCGGAAGTTTGACATGTCTGGTATAGAATATATCTTTCAGAAAATAACACACTTGAATTATAATGAATTAATCTGTAAGGTATTATTTTACTGGTACCTGACATCTGGCAATTATAATAGTATTTATACAAACCTTTCTTTGGTGAACCTTTGTTTTTCCTAAATGATTATGCAGATATATAAGGTCACATGATCATTCTAGCAAGTGCTACAAAGCAGAATCAGTTTTGAGAACAGACTTATATTGTTGTGAGAATGTTGGACATGGTTTCTAAAAACAATCTCTCTAAATTGCAGCATTGAGATGAATTACTACACTGTGATATAAACAGCAATTCCTTATCAGATGCAAACAAGAAAATACTTTCAATAATTTCACAATAATTTCATATCAAATGTTTTGGTGAAGCAGGAGCAATGAGTAGAGGCTATTTATTTTATTTGGTTAATTGAAAAAGTGTCTCTGCATATAACATCACCAAACAAGCAATATTAAAATCTTCAATATCAAAGAACTACTGTTTTAAAAAATATATAATAGCCAGATTCTGCTTAGGTTTCCAATTAAATATGATTTCTGACTGTTTATTAAAGAGAGCACTTGAATATCAAACCATCTTCCTGATAATTTTCAATTCTTGGTAAATGTCACCAAAGCTGTGTTGAAGAAGGAAGAATGGAAATAACACAAAGAGGCCCAGGCATAGCTATTCTAAACTCCTAAGATTTGGATAACACTCAGCCCACAGCTAAAGCTCTCTTAAACTACATGAACTGCAGTGGCCAAAAGCTATTATTAATACAGCAGCCTGCAGATACTTAACATTGCGATGTAACGATGCTAAGAAAAAAACTCAGGCATGTCTTGAGCAGAGGTTTTGAAGCTGCATGACACAGCTTCACACAGCTTCTCCAACTCTGAGTTTATTGTTTTTATATACTTTTTACATACATAGGCTTTACCATTAACTGCTGACATTTTACATTTAGAAGTTTAACCTTTAGTTGTTGACATAAAGTAATTGAAAAATTCCTTCATATAAGCAATTATTTTCTAGTAACACATTACCTGTTGAGAGCAGGTAAAACAAATACAGGTAAATTAGAAAAGGAGAAAGAACTGATAAAGACAAGAAGAGATAAAGACAGGAAGAGATAAGGGGAAACTTATTATTTAGGTAGGTAAGATATTAAGTCAAAAGGGGGTGATCTTTTGGCTGCTTCCTTGGGACAAAGGGTATCAAAAGGTTATGAGGTTTGTGGGGGGCAATGCATGGCAGTTTGCTGCACGTGCAAATTCCTCCACATTGCGACAACTCTTTTTCTTAATGCCTAAACTGTCAGGGTAAATGTAAACTATTTAAGGGCTTCTGGAGAGGTTGTCTCCTTGAGATTTAACTTGTTCTTCCCGACTCCTTCAAATAATGACAGTTTAAAAGAAGGAAGAATGTTCTTTCTTTTTTGTGTGGTAGGATTTTTTCTCTTTTTTTAAAGTATAACTGTTTTTGCTTCAGTCCTAAGCATAAATCATGAATTCAAATTCACTTCCATGTTATGTTCTGGACACCTCCATGTCATGTTCTTAGCAAGAACACCCACTAAATATTTTTAATATCATTTCTCTCCAGCTCACAGAGAGACAGCCACAGAGTGAAAGTAGTAAAGGCTGCTCAGGGATAAAGATGACAGGGTGTGGCCAAATCAGCAAATTAACACCTCTATATGTATATTCCCAATTGGTTACCAGTGTCATCTCCAGTGAAAAGGATGGCAAAATAACAGATTTTATATATTTTAAAGCAACTACTGTTGCATAGTGTTAAAATAAGAAGAAATCGGGACAACTTTCCAGGGCAGCTAATGATGAGGGGAGCCAGAATGGTGCACTGGTTAAGAAAGCAGGCTAGAAACACGGAGATTCTGAGTTCTAGTCCCACCTTAGGCCAGCTGGGTGACTTTATACCAGTCACACTCTCTCAGCCCTAGGAAGGAGACCTGTTGCCAATAAAATTGCAGGGACTTGTCCAAGCAGTTGGTGGAGATCAAGATTAACTTGAAAGCATGCACACACGTATGCAGCTAATAATGGCTTAATCTAATCCATAGACTGGGGATAAGAAGAAGATAGTGTTGTGAGGACATGGCAGAAGAAAGATGCGGTGGGACTAGTTTCTCTGATGATTAGTGGCAAGTGGGGAAAGACCCATTCTTGGCTTCTGCCTCTAGTCCAGGCATGTCAAACTGCCAAAAATATTCCTTTTTCCCTTCCCTATCTTTTCTGCTATTTACTTTGATATTTTCAATGTACTGTATACTATAAACTAATAAAAAACTTCACAAAAAAGTGCAGCTATTTACATAGGCTAACAAGAGATAACAAGAGACTTTCTATGCATGTTATTGATTTATTTTTATCGTATCTTTTTTCTAAAGTTCAATGAAATGAAGGAAAATTTATAAAACTGTAAATCTAATGACCTATAACTTTTAACAATTCAAATCACCTGATTTGATCTTTAACAAGTACATTTCCCCAACATAAATTTTAAAATGAAAATTGCCCTAATGCAAGCTCTCTTTTTAAATATAATTACCACTATTTTCAGACATTTTTTTGTTGTTGTGAACTGATTTAGAACCAGATTCTGGTTCAGTACAGGCCTTCTGGCCTGACCTTCTGACCTTGACAGAAATCTAAAAAAACCAAAAACATTACCTAACCAAAAAGAGATGAATTATCTTTGTAAGTCCAGAGCAATGAGATAATATTGAGAAACACCTCAGGCATACATCTGTCCATTTCACTGAAGTAGAAGAATGGGAAAACATACCACATATTGATATTTGAAAGACTGTTATAACCAATCTAAATAAAAGTAGTTCTAGCCTTCCTGGTGTTGATTTCCTATCTGACATCATGCATGTTTTATTATATATATATTGTTATATTGAGTATGATTTAATACAGTTGTAAGCTGTCATGAGTCCATATAAAGAAATATAATCTGACAGGAATTTACCACAGTTGTTTATTTTTAAGGTAAAATACAACTTTGTGCACAAGATTTTTTATAAAAGTTATTAATAAACTCATATTATGATTTTTTTAAAATGTTCTAGCTTTTTTAGAGCATCAAAAAGTAGAAACAATAAAATCTGAAAGAATTAAGTGTTAACTTACCCTGTGTTTATGTGAGTAAACATTACAATGAAGCTTGTACAGTCCCGTACTGTATGTTTGGCTCAAGGATAAATTTCAAGGCTCTTGTTCTAAGAAGCAGTAACTTCATTTTAAAAACTGGATTCATTTTTGGCAGGTTTTCCAGAATCCCACGGGAAAGTATTACAATAAATCAGTAATTCACTATAAAGATATTTTAATATGCTATAAAGTTATTTAAATCCCTATTCCCCCAAGCTAGATGTTTTAGAAAAGGAAATGAAAGTTTTCTTCATATAATATGTAAAAAATCCAGTATCTCTCATCTAATGGGCTCTCATATTTAGGTGAAAATTATATCTCTACTTAACTTTAGATGTTGACAAGGTATTACTACACTTTTTTCCACGTTGTCTTAATAAAAACAATAAGTGCTGGATCAAAAAAGATCAATGGAGTGATTTTATATATAAAACCCCAATTTAAACCTAGGCTACTTTTATCA